CCCATCTATTATCTGACCTATACTTTCTACATCTACGTTAATCTTTAAATATTCTTGCTGTGTGTAAGCAATCATACCTATGATCTTAGTTTTGAGAAAATTTTAAAAACTATGCTTTCTTCTTTCCGATCATTTCATCGTCATTACAATAGCAATGTTAAGAAATCTGCTAATTCTCAAATTTGAGAACGGTAGATTGAGTAATAATAGAAAAACCTCTGACGCTTCGTATCATAGACCAACAACTATTCTAATGTGTAAAAAAATATACATTAATCATTTTCCTATGCGTAACCATTAATCGTGGGCAAAGTGCATATGTTTGTCAAGATGTCATCCGAAGAAAAAAATTCATTTAGTTTTTGGTACATTAGCTAAAAAAAAGTGCGTCATCATCTTGTTTGCTGTGATATTAGAACTGCACAAACAACAAATTAAAAGTAGTTTAATAATAAATCAAAATGGTGGTATGTTCATAGCTAGTAAGTAAAAAACTTGGACGCAATCTCTTTAATAAAGACAATGTACACTCACACATACGCGTGGCAATAGAATTTTATATAAGCGTGACATGAAATTTTTTTATGTAAAAAGTAAATGTATTAGTCAACATAATAACAAAAAACGGTCAAAATGATATTTTGAATCGAAATATACTTACTCGGATGCAACAACAACTATAGAACACCAATAAAAGAGAAAAAAGAGATAAATTAGACCCCGCGCATGCTCTTTCTCTCGTGAACGAAATTTATCGCATCTGAGACTGTAATTATCTTGTACTAGTAATGGTACCCTTAGCTAATGTAGAAAAAAAATAGAATAAAGTATAATACAGAGAAGACAACACTTATTTTTGTGTGCTTTATGAAGGCTAAGAAAATATCCGTCACTTGCAACCATGAAACATGGAGGTGTTGTATGGAGGAGAAGAAGAAGAAGAAAAAAGAGAAAAAAAGATCTAAGAAAAACCCATGACAATAAACAAAAAAGTAACTGTCGTATTCCTACCGCAACAAAAACGTGTTGAAGATCTCAATGCTGGTTTTTTATTCAGATGCCTTTTTCTTTTGTTTTAACAACTATAGATGAGAAAAATCTATATCTATATTTTTTGTGACATCTTCAGAAAAAAGAGTTTATGTATGTATATGTATGTGTATATGGAACGGACATATCTACAACTGTTCTTCTCTTCTCCAACCAAATTATGTACAAAATACGTAAATCATTTATTTTCTTTTTTTTTCTCTTATATTAAATACTCTCAGTACATGCAGCTAGTAAAAGAGAAAGAGCTATGTACAACAAAAAAAAGTGAAAAAGAAGAATGAGAACACAATAACAACAAACAACAATCATATATCATTTCCACATTTACTGGCACATCCAAATATAGTTCATGCAAATGCCACATCAATGTTTTAACCACACATACAATTCTTTTTTTTTCTATCAGCAAGAAAAATGCGCATGTATATAAAAATCCTCGAGTTGTCGAAGTATAGTCGTCTATCTCATTTATGTTACGAGTATACAGCGAACATCACAGACATTCATACATGTATCACACTGTAACACATTCTTCTCTTCTTTCTGTTTCTCATATCTATTTTTTGTCTCTCATTCAACTTTTCAAAGCAAAAACAAATTTCTGCTGTTTTAAAAGTGGAAAGAATGGTATCAAGAAACTTATACACTATAATAAATATTTAAAGAGAGAGTTTTAAAATACCTAATTTTACAAAACATGTTGACATGAACGAAGAAAACAAAAGCGATTAATCAACAATAAGGATGAAAATGACCAAGGGATGTGATGTATTCAAAGCTGTTTTATTTCAAAGTAAGGGAAAGCCTCTAAAATGAAGTATTATCAGTGGCGGTGCGATCGGGACACAGTCGGAACTCAGGCGGACAATAAGCAAAAATTCTAAGTTTCTCTACAGATAGGTCCAGTATAGTCGACAGTTGGTTTCCACCGTTTTCCACTCATTCAAAAAATCTCAAAATGTGGTATACTTTCCTTTGGCAAGTACAGTTTCTATGATGATGCATACGGGAAAATGCAGTTTTTTTTCTGGACTTGAATATGAGATTTTCTAAAAACCCTTGTTTTTCAGTTAAAATCTATTTTTCTCAGTCCACAAACGCTTCTCAGAAAACATAAGGCCATATTCGGAATCAGAGCACTGAGTTGCATCGAATCGTGGTATAGCACAAGTTTTGGATCGAATAACTAACTGTCCATTAAAAGTTTTTCTCATGAACCAGCAAGATTGATTTTTGAAAACGTTTATTTTTTCTTCAAAAGCATCAGAAATGTCTAAGCAATCAATCGAGTCTAACAGCCGATAATCAATCATTTTTTGATGCCAACAGATCATCTTCACTCTGTTGTCTCTATATCGCCAAGTTCTTTTCTTATTTTCAAAAGATAAACGACAGTGAACTCATGAGAAAGATAAAACCACTCAATTATTCTATAACTCGCTACCACCATTACAAAACAGCAGCAGATACAAAACGAAGGACGTGAGATAAAGGTTGACATAAAATGTACCAAGTCCGCTGTTCGTCCTAATTCATCGCATCCAATAGGTTTTAAACTAAATGTAATCGCCATGCTTGCGCATCACCACAATGTGATTGTCATCAACATTGCATGCATTGAGAATTTCTCTACGCTTGCTTATCATCATTATTTCGTCGGAACTATTCGCTGCTGCTGGTTTTGCAATCTGTTTCTGTTTGACCGTCTTGACTTCCCTCCTCGTCAATCAACAGGAGATGTTCGAATTTGGAATTGAATGCCAGCAGATCGTCATGCAGGAATGTGAGCAAATACAGGTTGCCATCAGTCGAAATTTTGAATAGTCAAGCCATCCATATATTTTGATTGATCGATGCATACTTTCTCGTCCAAATTCCATACGGACAATCCGGGGTGGGTACCACTAGTATGCATCGCCCTAAAGCCTACAATAACCATGTCAGCGAGAATGAACAAACTCTGTTGATCGCCGATCAGCTTGTAAGGACTTGAAGCATAGATCATATCAAAATCTGATGTAGTCGTATTTGGCTGTATCTGGCGTATAACTTAACAGGCTTTCAAACTTCCTGGCTACTATCTCCGCCAATTCTAAAGCAGCTTGCTATTTCTCGATTGTGATAAATATCAGCCAGAATCTGACAGGTGGAGAAGTTGATATAGGACCCATATATGTATCACCTTTCAAGAGCCACAAAATGTGAGACAAGCATAAAATGCACCTTAAATGGCATCGAAATGCACTCTAAATAGTACCAAAATGCTTGCTATTTCACAACTGCTCAAATAGCCTATTTTCAAATGGTTCCCAGTATCTGTCACCCCACAGACTTACACGTATCCAGTAACTGATTAAAAAATCGACATTCGGTGGATACGTGAGATAGTCGAAACGCATATTTTCGTCCTGTAACACTTGCTGTACTCTGACAAAGTTTGTTGGCATACAAGTGTAGAGTGCTGTGGTCGAAAGAACCAGGAACACTTTGATCGTCGCACAGTAGCACATGTCTTGCAAGATTCCATTGATCTTCATGCAGTCGATCGGTGGTGTGACCAGTCGAACGTTGATAGACGAGCACTTTGACGCGATTGCTCGGTAGAATGTAAGAGCTGGACAAGGCGAACTCACGTCGATCGCATCCTTTGATCGGAACCATGTCTACTGTTGGCTTATCGAACAAGATGATCTTATCATGAACATTGCTCGCATAGAGTGCCTGTGCACACAAGAGTGTTATACAAACACCACAACAGTCTCGAGTATACCTCTTCAAATAACTTGCCATGATGGATGCGTATATAGTCGGGTCGTTTGGTGTCAAACCAATCGAGGCACTTAGCGTGCAAAGTGTCGAGTGCAGACGACGAAATTTGTTGATCTGACTGCGAAGCTCATAGGGATCATCGATTGTCACTGTCTTCTCGCCAGTACGTTGTTCATATAGCAAGATGATCGATTGGAATTGTTCGTATTAGTACTGTTCGAATTTGTCAGCTGACTTGACTCAAATTTTCGGTTTCGCTTTAGCGGAGGTTTTGACTCTTTCGTCCCATACATAGAACACTTTTCACACTTACAAGCACACGTGAGATTCGAGAATTCATTTATCGCATGTATTAGTTGACTTAAAAAAAATGTGTTATTTCAGAACTGAAGCAGAAAAAAGCGCTTAGCGGACTTCTAGTAGCGTGAAATTTTAAATAATGACTAATCTGGTTTCTTCTCGATATGAACGAGTTTGATTTTTTGTGTGAAAAACGTGAAGTATTCGTCACTATACCTATATATACTAAATCGAACGACTGGTATCTGTGTATCTTCTTGAGCGAACTTAAAATCATCGCCGTAAAAATTACCATTCCATGTAGTATTGCCATCAGTTTTCTCTTGGCTCTGCATGAACCTCTCCACGCGCGAGTGATAGGCGATCCTCGTACCAGCAGCACTCAGGCGATCTGGTGTGTAATCAGCTTTCCGTCCATCTGGTTCAACAGACGCTTTTACTCTCTTTCTCTCCGTGCTCTTCACTACCTGCATATCATATAGTCATATCGAACAGATTTTAATACTTGTTGTCGTTTATTATCAGACACAATATCTGACTGTTAATGTATGTTGATAATGATAAACAAAAAAGCCTAGGAATAACAATTCCAGACATTTTATAAATCTTGTAAAACCAGGAGGTCATTGCATTATACTATTTGATGAGTTTCAACAAGAAATTTGTTTTGTAATACGTTTTATGGTAGAAAATAAATATTATTCACAGGAGAAATCGTGTTTTTTTCTGATAACTCTAAAAATTATGATATTTCGTCGAAAATAGAACTAATCGAATTATTTCCAATACAGATGAGGTATAAGCGAAGATCATATTTGTCTTATTACATCTGTCTACCGTACACAGTGATATCCAACTTTGTAATCGAATTGAATGCTTCATATTTTGAAACCTGTTAAACGAAAATTCCCCGATGATTCTAAACTTTTTGTTGAATCCATAAAATTTTTCACTAGACACGTGCATAAATACAGCACAGCATTTAAATCAGAGCTATTAACTCCTTCGTCGACAGATATGATTCAGCCACCAATTTTTACACAAAAATGAGCTGGAAACGTCCCATTTTGTCGTTTGAAGTGGCTTATAGAAGACAAAAAATAAAATATTTCTAAGATCATAAAACTTTCGCTTACTTGACCATCTGTTGAGAATGTATATTTAAAGAGCTTTCGAACTGTGTTTTCAAAAATTTTCTGTCGCTTTTAGCCTCCTAAGAATGAGCGAATCTTTGCTATGCCCTAAACACTAAGTTTGTTAAAAAAACGAAAATCTGGTATTTGTCGACAAATGTAAGCCATGGGCTTGACAAAATCAAAAAGCAAGGAACCTTGTGGATAAACTTTTTTTGCCCTTGTTTTCTGCAACAGAACGCAATAAAAAATGTTTCCCGACCAGACGGAAAATATTTTTTCCCAGTGGGTCCAGTGTGTGACCTTCCACCCCATTATGCACCCCACTCAGTACTTGTCTTCCTTATATAAATTTTTCGTAGTACATTACTAAAACGTTTTTACGTCATAAGATTGTAGAACAGACAATTCTCTACACAATTAGATGTTAAAATAGGATATACGACATAACGGTCGGAAATTATTTCTACGCGTTTCTCTGAACGTTATATTTTACCTAAAATTTAACTAAAACATATCAAGAAAATCTTTTCACTCGTGTAAAATAATAATAAAAATAACAACAAAATAACATAACAATAAAAATAATCACTTTTTTTACTGGAATCAAATACATGAAAAATTAGCTCGTAAAAAATTCTATCGATCTGATGTCCTTAAAAAAATTTGAAGTTTCTTTTTAGTGGTATTTTGAAACGCTTTCTAAAAGACAGCTTTTTGAAAATCGAGATTTTGCATCTAATATTTAAGACTTTCAGTAGAGGTGTCACATAAAACAGGAAGTAAATAAGATTAGATTTATTTTATATAAGATTGTTAAAAATTAAATGAAGATCAAGATTTAGTTAGTTTAGTTTAAACTTTATTTATCACTTCAAAAGAAAAAAGAACAGAGAGAAAATAAACAATGCTTCAGATGCACACAAAATCGGCGAACCATTATATTGCTGTGCATAAGAAAAGTGCTTGCTAGAACAGATAGTACAATGTGTGGGAGAGGAGAAGAAAAACAGCTTTAGTTCAAAAATTGGAAAAAAAATTCATGAATTGGCAATTAATGCTAATCAATTGATTTTCTAACGGTGACCAGACAAGCGATTACTTCTTCACAAAAAGCAAATAAAAAAGAAAATCTAATGCATACTGTTCCAAAGAGCATTTCAAACACTCTTAGATGTAATAATCAGTCATTCTTCAAACCTATCTTTAAACAAGAAAAGAACCGTTTCGAAGAAGATAGAGAGCGGACATTTTGACAATTTACCAAAACATTTTTAATGATGTTTAGTTTTTGAATTTTTTCTCAATAAAGTTATACGAGAGAAAATTTTTGTTTAATGCACATTTTGTAGTTCAAACTTTGCTCTTTCAAACAAACAAAAAAGCGAAATCTCCAAAATAATGAAAACATGGAAAAACAGCGCTCAACATTTTATGCAAAACTTATGCATAGGCCGATATTTTCAATCAGACGTTCGAGCTGGATAAAACAAGCACTATCAAGCATCACAGAACCTATTATTTTTTGTTCTGCTTCATTGTGATGAAATCACAAATCTTTTTTATCATATATTTCGTAGTTTTATTTCACACGTAGACACAGATAAATTATAATAATAATTATAAAAAGATGATAGTTATTCTTCAATTAGATTTCTTCGCTACAGAAGAACATGAAGAATAAGAGGCAAAACAACTGGCGATGTACAATGCAGTGTTGTACATTTCACTTGTACTTTGTAAATTAGCTAAAATTGTTACACAAATTCCACACTTTGAATCAGTACAATTGATATTTGTGCATGGTGCAATGAGCAAGATTGATGTTGCTCCCACAGCACCTCCTGAATGATAAATATGATATGGCATAGATAATTCATTAATGGATGAATGTTTTTCTGGTGAAATAAACCATCCAAAACCATAGTATCGTGGACGTAGTAATTCTGGTGTTTCATCAGTCTCAGCACGAATGACTGGCGTCCAAAGTTTATTTACAGATGAAGATTTTAAAAATTTTTGTTGTTGATGGGTCGGCAATGATTGTATTGATAACTTTTTTTCTCGTAAATATCTATCTGACTGTAGACATTGTAATATGGTATTTGCAAATAGTAATAAATCGATGACATTTGATAATAGTCCGCCACCCGCCCATTTTAATGAATTATCAACATACGGTACGCCTTTTAACTCACGATCACGACGATAATAATAATGACTTCGATTGGGAATTACTTCTTCTGGATAATCCAGATAGGTTGACCTCAAATTTAATTGCTCAAATAACGATTTCATTATATTTGCATACGTTTTATTAGCAATTTTTTCAATAACAGCACTCAATAGTGTATAACCATGCGTCGTGTATTCAAATGTTGTTCCTGGTTCATAAAGTAATTCATCTTTGATAAATATTTGGAGTGCATCATCTACATTTTTATAATTTGTCATCAGATAATATTCTTTCGAATCAAATTCGCTAATCGGTCGCTCTTCACCTTTTTTCGTGTAATGTCGAATACCCGACGTATGTGATAACAATTGAGAAAAAGTGACAGTTACCGGTTTATTCTCAAATTGAAATGTGGATAATTCTGAATAGTATTTACGAATATCATCATCCCATTTTAATTTTCCATCTTCAACTAATTTTGCTGCAATTATTGCTGTAAAACATTTGGAAATACTTGCTATACGCATAACAGTGTTTTCTGTACACGGTATCATATTTTCAATATCAGCTAAACCAAAACCAGTTTTCCATACCAAATGACCATGAACAGTTACACCAACAGAAAGACCTAGAGTAGACACAGTTGATCAAACGAAACATATCGACAAAATTTCATACCTGGTACACCTTGTTTTTCTTTTAACGCCATACATTTTGCAGTTGCCATTGATATTGCATTTTGTTCATGTTGAATGTTGTCACCATTATCTAACTTTGATCTGGTCCATAAAACAGCTGATGCACCGAATATCGATAGAACTAGATGTTTAGTACCAAAAGGACGAAAGAAAACCATCTTTGATGCTAAAGTAAAAGAAGTCTTCTTAAAGTAAACGATACTATGGGCTGAAGTTTCTATTTATTGATAAAACCTAAAAAACATTAATAAAGCGATTGCAACAAGCACATGTCGTCTGGGAAGCAATACTTTATACAAAGTCTGTAAAGATTTATTAAAAATCGAAGTCATGACCTCAGATATAATATCAAACGTTATTATTTAGCAATGATAGATATCTCTCACACTATAAATCAATATTTCCAGCTAATACTGCATACCTTTAACAAAGTCTTTTAGGATCTTAACAAGTTAAGAGATATCTCTTTCTTCATATATCGTTAGTTTTAATGTCATATGTGACAAATATTTTCATCTGGGTCTGTGATATTTAATTTGTTTCTGTTCAAGCCAGATTTAAGAAATAAGAAAGACTTTTTCATTTGTTAGTTTTCTGTTATTTATTCTAGAAACTTTTTGCTAAAAACGCTTTTTAAATAAGATTAAGAATTCATTTAGAATTTCAAGTTGCCGGTTTTACCAACAATAGTTCGTACAACACAGCTCGTTTACCAATAACAATATAAGTGTGTATTATACAGTATATAATTCATACTAGAGATAAACATATTTTTCAAAACAAATCATACGATTAAATTATTTTACCACAATTTCAATAGCAGTTTGTATCAATTAAATCTATCCTTAGATATATAATTACTTCATCACGAATCATATGCACAATACTTGACGACAAACTGACTGTTGTCTTGAAAACAAACAAACTAAACAACAACATTTGAATAATAAAGATTGCTTTTGATTGAGGTATTGAATAAAAACAAATAATACTACTATCCGTTACAAATGGTCAGACCGCTGGTTGCTTTTTGAATAACTTTTGATAGGAATGAGATAGAGACCTGCGATTTTCGCTGTTCAATAGCCAAGACTTGAGTAGAACTTTTCACAAGCGGAAACAAC